GAGTCTTTACCAGTATATATGTAGGCATTGTAGAGATAACTAGTTCTGGCGCCTGTAAGGCATATCATCTTTATGCCGTACTTACAGGGTTTGTTAGGCATATACATTTTGAAATGGACGCGTCCTCTGAAACTAACAAGCATTTCGTCAATGGTTAGTGACTTTGGTTCTTGACATCCTTTACGGTTACGATGCCTAGAGTACGGAGACCTGTACGATTTTGTCAACTTAGTGAGTTTGATAGGGGCCGTATAGTGGAACTTCGGGAAGCTGGATTTTCTTTTCGGGCAATTGCAGTTAGAGTGCAAAGAAGTGTAGACACTGTGGTTAGGTGTTGTCAGGCATGGCTTCGAGAAGGCCGTACGCAAAGAGCAAGGGGCACTGGACGCCGCCTTAGAACAACAGACCGTGAAGATCGCCGCCTAAGATTATTGGCCTTAAGGGACCGTTTCTCCACTACCAGGTCCATTGCAAATGAATGGTTTGCAGAACACGGAAGACCTATTGGCCTGCGAAGTGTTTACCGACGAATGAGAAGTTTTGGCTTGTTTTTATACCGGCCACACTGGTTCCTCCCTTTAACTCGAGAACACCGACGTAATCGCCTTGAGTGGTGCAGACAACGGTCACTCTGGGATCAGGTATGGAACAGTATTGTCTTTAGTGACGAGTCTCGATTTTTGTTTAGGCATGCACGATGGTCGTGCCAGGGTTAGAAGGCGACCTGGTGAAAGGAGGAGTCCACAGTTTTTTGTTGAAAGACATGTTCATCACACTGTTGGAGTTATGGTTTGGGGTGCTATAGCTTATGGTTCCAGGTCACCTTTAATCTTCATCAGAGGTAACATGAACGCGCAGCATTATATCCACGACGTTCTAGAACCCCATCTTTTACCCTATCTTGACACCCTGGCAGATCCAACTTTCCAACAAGATAATGCCCGACCACATGTTGCAAGAGTCACAATAGACTTCTTTCAACATAATGATGTCACATTGTTACCATGGCCACCAAGATCTCCCGACGTATCCCCAATTGAGCACGTGTGGGATATGATGGGTAGGAGATTGCTCAATTTGCAACGTCCTCCTCAGACTCTAGAAGCACTATTTAAATAAAACCATTTAAACTGGGAATTCGGATTTATATGTCACTTAGTATATTTATATATATATTTGTATCTGCGTATCCTGAGCGCATTTGCGAAAGCTTCTGATTTGTCCATTCGAGAATCGGCTGTAGGATTTCCGCAGACAAATGTAAATTCCATATGGCTAAGGGACTTGCCTTGTTGCCTAAATCACGGGCTCGTCCTCTTATCACAGGAACCTTTGTCACCAAGTTGTGCTTCCTAGTTCGCGAGGAAGAAACAACTTCGGTAGAGGACCATCTAAAGCGGTTTTTGCTATAGAAGTATTTATTGTCCGTCTGATGGGTGTCACTTTCTTGGTCACTATCACCGCCTGTCGAGAAGTCTGAGTCCGTGTCGTGTTCTGACGCAATATTTTTGTCCTCTGCAGCACTATCTATATCACTGGCAGTGTCGTTAACTTCACTGTACCCTTTGAGGACAGTTTCCTCAAATTTGTTGTCACTTAACCGAACTCTTTTCCATGGACCGGCCATATCGCAATTTAAAAAATTTCCACATAAACGCACAGGTGACGTCTGGCAGACCTCTACACACCAAATAATGCCTGTGTTTCGTCTTCAAATAAAGCGAACGCACTGAGCATCGTACTTGTCTGGCACCAATAGGCGAGGGATTAGGAGACCCGATTGGCCAGGAGGCGTTACTACCGTGGAAGATACGGGACAGTTTATTTACCGCGGGGTCTGTCAGACTCCACATGATCGGTTAAGGGTTAAGAAAACGAATTAGAGACATGAAAATTGATTGATTGAAAATATGCGGTTTCATACCTTTCAATATTTTAACGATAATGGACCTCATTTTCATATAAAACTTCTAAAATGAGATACATAATGAGTCGTATTCATAAAACAAAGGATATCCTTGAACTTGCAAAATTTGAAGGAAATCCTGCAGATGGTATTTACAATAATTTGAAGTAAATGCTTTTGCCTTTTGAGTATAAGCATATCCTTCAAAGCAATGACATAAGTAAAATGATATTTATAATCTTCACCTTATACTTCTTCTGAGTATGATCAGTAGCAGACTCAATTTAAATTTAACGTACAGCAATCGCACTCCATTTTGATCATCTTTACAGTTTCTACCACTAAGTTTATAAATGTGTAGTCAATTTTCTATGCATTCAGGTAACTAATTGAAGAATTTACTCACCCTGATATGGACAATTTCTTCTTGTGTTACCTAGTAATTTCCCTGGTTCACCATGAGTAATCTCCACATATTTTCATAAATAACTCGGTTGCTTCCATCCCATGCTAGATCTTCCACCGTCAAGAAATCAATTCAATCTCGAAATTTTCGCCTCGGGGATTTGTTTACAGTCCCATCAACAATCCGGTTTGTCACTCCGGAGCTAAAAATAAATAAATAAATAAATAAATGTACATCTGTAAATTGATATCACCTTCTGAATTAAAAACTATTTGTGTTGCATAAATATTATTACTCACCTTTTGGACTATGTATTTCTTTTATAGTCAGATGAATTTATTATTGTTTTCTGAAATCTTCCAATGTCAAAGGCTGATGTCGCTGATGTCGAGGTACTATTCTGCGTACCGAACTACTTGCACACCTCGCTTGTTCCGCATAGTTGCCAATTTTATTTCAGAATTTCCTTATGTTTATTAATCAATCAAATTTATATGCAGATATGACAGTGTTGCCACATTTATTCACGATAGTTCCTTGAATTTATATTAGGAACCTTCTCATTTTGGGATTAGCCGACAACGTTTGGCTCTTAATGGTCAGGCGTACAACTATATTTGGAAATGTCAAGTCGAAAAAATTAAATTTTGCGATGGGACTTCCTTCCACTATCGGAGGGCCATCTTGTTCTGTTCCGCTAGTGCCAGAAGACCTTTAACTTTCCTTTTTTTTGCCTGGGGCATCTTCGTTGGATTGTGGAAAAAAATTTCATAGATAATTTCCTGGGTCATTCCTGTTGTGAGTGCGTAGCATCTTTTTTTTGTCTACCCTTGGACCCGAGAAATTCTACAATTTGTCTTCAGCCGCACTTTTCGCCAGACGGAACCACGTGAAAAACCCTACCCGATATCATCTAGGGCTTTTATTTTGGAGGAATCTTCGCTACTGGAGATCCATTGACACGTTTTCTACCGGGGACCTCTTTCCGAACAGAGACCCTTTTTCCACCATAGGGATTCTTACGTCATCGGTTTTGAAGCCTTCCTCGCCCATTTTAAATTATTTAGTCAATAAGCTTTCGCATTAAGGGAGATCTCCTAGTTTGGCTGGCTCAAATTTTTGTTGCTAGCCGTTAGTAGATGTAATAAAATGTATTGATGTTAATTTTAGCAATTATTTACCCACACATAAAATCTATTGTTTGTATTTTTGTTTTTGTTTCTTGCGATTTTGGGCTAAAGAGTGCCTTTCAACACCAAGGCGTCTTCCAGTTTTGGCGGATAAAAGCTGGTGGCGCCCCTAAAAAAATACCCCCCCCCCCTACTTTCCGGTGTACCTGAGCATAGGGCCTAATTTGCCAACGCTAAACCACGGCTTTAGCCTCAGTAACCCCCTAGTTTTCTTTTAATCATCCATTCCCTCAATTGAGAGAAATAACTTTAGCTTAAAATTAAAAAGTGATTATAATTAAAAAAAAGAGCGTGGCAAGAGGCCCATGAAAGGACAACGCTACGCCACGATTGACGAGATAAAGTCGGCATCAAAGGAGGCGCTCAACAAGATCACAAAAGATAATTTTTCAAAATGCTTCGAGGGCTGGAAAAAACGTTATCACAAGTGTATAATATCTGATAGAGATTACTTTGAAGGGGACAAAATGAAAAAACATAAAATTTGCGATACTTTTTGAACAAACTTCGTAGTACCATCCAAAAAACATGGTATCCTAGTTTCTGGACTCTTCGCGATTACAATACTCAAGAATAGTAACCAAAACCACTTTTCTCATAAGCGTGTTGCAGGTCCTTTCAATTGTACTTGAAAGTGTAAACTTGATTACCGTAAGGTCGGGGTACTTTGTCCCAAAATAATGATATTTTTTATTGCCCTTACAATTACTTCAGTTTTAAAGATGCTATGTTTGTGTTATTTAGACAAATGTTTAGTAGGGATATAAATAACACATTTATAGTGTAAAAACGCTGATATAACTTCGGGGTTAGACATAATTTTTTTTTTAAAGTTAGGGCCAAAGTTTTACTTAAGAGATGGTTTCTTTGACCCACTTGGTTTTTAATTATTACAACGTATTGATATTTAATGGTGAATCAAAGTAAACAGTATATATCGGCAAATATGAAAGAAAGACATATCATATTATTGTTAGGCACTTTTTATTGCACAAAAAAACTAAAAAAAGTCACAAAAATTAAAAATATTTCCAGCACATGACTTTTTCTTATTTATTTTAACAAAATCAGGCAGTCTTCTCTCTTATTACGAAATACATTCACTAGAAGTACCTCAATACTAAAAATAAAAACAAAACATCTCTCAGTTATTACAATAGTGAAGTAAACAAGAGGTAGGAACTTAACAGTCTAGAGTTGCTCATCAGTCTTCAAAATTGAGAATCTTGTCAAGACATATTCAAATTAATCAATTAAATTATAGCTTAATTTATAAAGAACGTATTTTATCAAGTTCAGGTACAGTAAATTGTCCATTTTTCACGAATTTTGGTACTCCAATCTTCGTTATCACTGACTCCCAAGCGTATAATTGCTCATCTTTTATGTTAGGCCATCTCCATAACTTTCCTTTTTTCATTCAACTTATTAGCGCTCCTTCTGTAGATATCGATATAATTTTCCCTGGATAAACACGTGAATTCCACTTAACCAATACATGATCATTGATACAGTAACCATCGCCATTTTGATATTCCTCTTCCGCTTTTCGTACATTATCTGGATTAATTTTATTTGGCAGAGGCGGCCCTTCTTTATTTTCGTCCTCATTACTGCAACTTTGACCGTCAGACTTCGAACAGTTTCTTAATAGCGGATCTTCAACAAACCTTGTGTTGCAATCCGGAGGAATGGGCTCTGGTAGCTGAGTTGATGGCTCAAGCGCCTCCAGATTTCCATCATAGTTGCTTCTGGGATCGCGATTTATAAGCTGTGCTAGGCGTAAGTTGTCATCTTCATCATCAGATTGATCTCGTGCCAGAATGAGATCTTCAGTAGAAGATGCCAAACTTATGTCGGTGTCACTGCATTCTGAAGAGAAAACCTCACTAATCAACCGCTTCCTGGACTTTGCATTTTTCTTAGGATCTGATCTATTTACTCCTGAAGAACTAGCTTGTTCTCTGTCTGAAGTATCTTCTGAGCGAATGGATCGACCAGCAGGTACATCTAGCTTTTTCTTCTTGCCTTGATTCTTTCGGTCTGGACTATCGTTACTCCGTAATTGCTTCAGATTTTGCATAAAAGCGCCGGAAATTAGATTGAGATCTACAATTCTGTCTTGCCTTGGCAATCTACTCAAAGGTTCTTCTACGTTCTGAGGATAAATGCCAGTTTTCCTGAACCCGTTTACGAGATAACTTTAGGTTTCTTTCATGCTATCCAGTGCAGTTTTTAGTAGTCTAGGAAATTGATCCTTCGGCACGGTTGGAAGTCTTCTTCCTTCTGGGGTATTTTTCCAATCTAGCAAGACTTGACGCCATTTAATCTTCAATAGCCTGAAATATGCCACATCAAGTGGCTGAAGAATATGAGTTGCATTGGCAGGTAAACAGATAAAACTGATGTTGTTGGCCTCGCATGCTGCTATAGTGGATACCAAATAAAACCCGATGCACGTCATCGATCTGGAGCTGTGCGCTGTTGCCAGAATTTGCACATTTTCTTTTAAGCAAATAAATTTTTATATATACCTACCATTTACTATAATACCATTATATTAAAAATAAATAAACTTGTTGTAAAATTAAATTCCTTTCTGAATAAAAACACCTGATTTGGTAGATATTCAAAAACACAAAATATTTAAAGAACATAAATTGTTTTCTCGTATTTTAATTAATTTGATTATTTATTTATGATATGGGAACTACAACACTTTTTCAATTCACATCAAAAAGAAGAAAGAACTCGGGTGATGCGATGTTACACAATACCGGCAACTAGCGGCAATGAGTACTCCTTATCGAGCCTGATATTAACCGCATGGTATGGTTCAGTTGTATATCAATTCCGGAGTTTGATTACATTATACAGAATATATTTTGATGTTTTAACTATTCTGAATCACTGGAATCAGAGTCATCGTTAACATGGATAATAAGGGGAAGAATTTCCTGTCTATCCATTACTTGTTCCCTTCTATACCATTTCATAACTATCTCCTCTGTATGTCTAATGGAGTTCTTCCACATATCAGGGGTAATAGTTTGGAGTGCCTCTTGCCACATTTTTAGGCAGTCATTTTCAGTGTGGCCATCTCTTCCAATATGCCGATTATAGTAATCTTTAATTAGCTCAATTGGGTTAAAAATACAGTGGTATGGAGGTAACCGTAAAACTTTATGTCCATATTGTTCTGCCAAGTTATCGACCACATACATTTTGGTTGGTTTATTCCCAAAAAAAAAATAAATAGGAACAAAATGCATAAAGATTGGGTATTCTGCTCACTGTGCAACAATCGTTAAAAGTTCAGATTTGAATGCTTCATGTGGATACTGTATTTTTTGTTCAGTTAACCAATTTCAGCCTTTCTCCATGAGCTATTGGGAGTTTTTACTAATAACATGCTATGGTATGATGCATTATCCATAACAATCACAGAGGGTTGGGTCAAGCTTATTAGTAATTGATTTTCAAACCAATATAAAAAATTTTGCTGGTTCATTTCACCATGGTAATCATTAAGCTGGGTTTTCGATGAAAATATGAGCGACGCACCTTCAACAAATCCATTTTCATTGCCAGCGTGAACTATGATATACCCACAAATGCATTTCATTTTTATATAGAGCTTATTTTTCTATACATTTGAAAGCCCACCTTTTTCCATCAGCTTTGGTACTTCTAACACTTCGCTTGGATACTTTACACCACTTCACAGTAACTGTTGTTCTGAAAAGAACAATTTTTAATTGGCAAGGCAACGATTCAAAGCTCAATTAGCGCAAAACTCACAAACTAAACAATAAAGAACTAATAGTACGACAAAAGGACAATGGCAACTGATGTCAACAAATGAGAAGTGGCAACCTCACATTTCTCTGTACGGCACTACCAACCGAATCGAGACGGGGAAATTTAAACTTCAAGTAGAAATGTCACATTGAATGTAGTCAACTGTTGGTAACCATGATTTTTATGAATGACATCACCTATGACGTGCATCGGATTTTATTTGGTATCCACTATAGACATTTTTGTTTATATGGGAGGACAAGTTGTCACCAATAATCACTTTGCGGCCATCTTTTTTCTTTAAAATTGGCAGGTAGTAAATGAGATTCGAACCAGTCCTCAAACGTGATACTATCAATCCAACCGCTTTTGGTTCTATTATACCGGGTTCCGTGTGGTCCATTTTCAGTCCAAGTAGACCACAAATGCTCTGCCTTAAAAAATAACATATGGCGGAACAGTTTCCCCTACGGCATTCCCACAAAACATGACTGAAAAACTTACTTTTGTAGCATTTACAATCATTTCCACGTCTACAAATTACTTTCTTTTTTCCGGGGTCATCGGTAAGGCTACTTTCATCGTAGTTGTAGATATTCTCTGATGGAATATTGTCTAACTCTACAATCAAATTTTCAACAAACTGTTCAATAATTGGCTCTGAAATTGCTGCTCTTACTTTTTTAATATTGTTTGCTAATCGTCTAGACAGAATCATGTTTGACTTGAGAAATCCTCTGACCTACTCGGTGCCAGGTATGTTTTTATTAAACTGTTTTACCTGTCTTCCACGAGCTGACAAGTAGTCTTTGATAATAATTTTGAGGTCAATATCTGTTATCGGAAACCCAAATTCTGAGAGCGCTGTAACATGGGCAACAAATGCTTGTTCTTCTTCTGTTGTGACTATAGTTGGATGGCCGGGTTTGTTACATTGCTTATTCTTCAGTTTATTCTTTATCGTACTACGAGGAATTTTATACTTAGCTGCAGCAGCCCGTTGAGTCCGTATCTTGGATCTCACGTCATTTAAACATTGCTCCAACTGCTCTTTAGCGTAGTCAATGTAACGACGATTTCCCGCTTTCCTTCTATAGGTGGTAGGCATCTTTGTGTATCTAAAAGGTCAAAAGTAACGCATTATTCCGATTGAATGGCTTAATATAGCTGGTGATGTAAAAATATAATGAAAAATCGTTATAAGGATACTTTGGCCCATGGGCTAAAGATACCCGAAAGCGTGGGCCAAAATATACTGATATATTAATTTGAATATATTCTCCACAAAAATTACTTTTACCGTTTGTTTCGTATTCCAACATCATCTCAGATGTATATCTGATACATTTGAAAAGAACTGCAACTTACCTGATAACTTGGTTTCGTGAGAAAGTTTGCACACAATAAATTCACGTGTTCTGCAGATAGATACTTGTTGTCCTAACCTCAAATCTACGCATGCGCTGTGAGCCCCAGATAATGTGCTACCAATATCACTATAGAGTCATCTATCGATTACTAGGCGAACTACATCGATACGTCGCAATGAGCTGGCATGGCAGAAAGCGAAAACTTTTTAACAGTTTGGGCTTAAGTAGCACCGTAGGGCTAAAGTACCCCGATCTGATGGTATCTATTTGATTTGTAAGACATATTCTCATATAATATGTTACTGCTATGAAATAGTGTATTTACGCTGACCTGCCATATTACGTATCTTTGTCGTTACTATAAATGAATGAATGAATGAGAGTGCGAATTGCCTTGCTGTGTAATATTGTGTATATACCTGAAAGCCTCGGGAGGCACTCTTTTATTCAGGATTTTCAGTTGGTATTTCATATGCACGTCCTGACCGCTCCTCGAGTGTTGGGGACTTTTGTTTTTTATTTAGATATCGAACGTTGGTGCCCCGTGATATTTGCATTCAAAGCTGCCAAATGTAGTTGCCAATGAAGACACCAAAAAATGTGAGTAACTGTACGTTGCGATTTAAACATGTTGCAAGCACATGTCCCGGACGCATGATGCGCGGCAGTAAACTTTTCGCGTATCTCAAGTTATAATAATAATAATAATAATAATAATAAATGGCCTTTATTTTACCTGGCGGGTTACATCAGCACAAGCTGTTTTTCAGAACCAACCAGGTAACATAAGTAACACAGGTCCATAAAAAAGTAATATGTACTAAGAGGGATCCCACTTTATTCTTGATATACAGGGTGTTTCACAACTTATCCGACCAAGCTTAACCGCATATGCACTGTTACGAAAGTAATTGATTTCTCAAAAAACATGTAATAAATGTCCTACATAAATCGAGATAATAAAATAATACAGTTTAACAGTTCACTTACTTATAAAAGCTGTTCAAAATTGTTCCCATTGACTGCAATGCAAGCTTGGGTGCGGCCAATCCAATTTCGGCGCTCTAATTCACTGTGATTCGGTCACGCAATTCTTCAATATTCTGAACTGGAGTACGTTTTTCAAGTATCCCCATAAAAAGAAGTCCAGAGGATTTAGATCGGGAGACCGTGGAGGTCATGCAATTGGTACACCCCTTCCGATCCAGCGTTTCTGGTATACCTGATTCAAAAAATCACGAACTTCTGATCGAAAATGTGGCTCAAACCACATCCGTGCTCGGTCCGCCAATGGCACATTCCAAATACAAATATTTTTCCTGGGTGTAACATTTCTAATGTCACTGAATATAGTTTGGTCAGTTAAACTGAAGAGGTGGTGGGTCGATGAGCATGTAAACTTCAATATGAGGATGATACATTTTGGTGTAGATCTGATACACCACACACATTCACCGTTTATGATTGAAAACCAAGGTTTAATCAATTGTAAATTGAATCTTTTTTACTCACATCTAATCCAGTTCCCAATGCTTTCAAAAGTGGGCGATAACCTGTTGCTGGTCTTGTCAAGAATCTTAAATATGGGATATTGCAAACTCAAAATATACTAAGTGACATATAAATCCGAACACCCAGTTTAAATGGTTTTATTTAATAAAAGTTGGTGAATGTATTTATCTTACTGTAAATAACAAGTGAAAAATTTTGGATATTCCGGTTTTTGCTGCTTTTTTTCAATTCACTAACGCTCTAAAAATGAATATTTCAGCCGCAGTAAAGAATCAACGTTGGCGGATGTTGGTTCTTGACATCCTTTACGATCGGTTACGATGCCTAGAGTACGGAGACCTGTACGTTTTCGTCAAATTAGTGAGTTTGATAGGGGACGTATAGTGAGACTTCGAGAAGCGGGTCTTTCTTTTCGGGCAATTGCAGTTAGAGTGCAAGGAAGTGTAGACACTGTGGTTAGGTGTTGTCAGGCATGGCTTCGAGAAGGCCGTACGCAAAGAGCAAGGGGCACTGGACGCCGCCGTAGAACAACAGACCGTGAAGATCGCCGCCTAAGATTATTGGCCTTAAGGGACCGTTTCTCCACTACCGGGTCCATTGCAAATGAATGGTTTGCAGAACACGGAAGACCTATTGGCATGCGAAGTGTTTACCGACGAATGAGAAGTTTTGGCTTGTTTTCATACCGGCCACACTGGGTCCTCCCTTTAACTCGACAACACCGACGTAATCGCCTTGAGTGTTGCAGACAACGGTCACTCTGGGATCAGGAATCTAACAGTATTGTCTTTAGTGACGAGTCTCGATTTTGTTTAGGCATGCACGATGGTCGTGCCAGGGTTGGAAGGCGACGTGGTGAAAGGAGGAATCCACAGTTTTTTGTTGAAAGACATGTTCATCACACTGTTGGAGTTATGGTTTGGGGTGCTATAGCTTATGGTTCCAGGTCACCTTTAATCTTCATCAGAGGTAACATGAACGCACAGCATTATATCCACGAAGTTCTAGAGCCCCATCTTTTACCCTATCTTGACACCCTGGCAGATCCAACTTTCCAACAAGATAATGCCCGACCACATGTTGCAAGAGTCACAATAGAGTTCTTTCAACATAATGATGTCACATTGTTACCATGGCCACCAAGATCTCCCGACTTATCCCCAATTGAGAACGTGTGGGATATGATGGGTAGGAGATTGCTCAATTTGCAACGTCCTCCTCAGACTCTAGAAGCACTTCGAGAGGAGTTGGTGGTTGCCTGGAATGAGATACCACAGGAGGACATTGACCACCTGATTAGAAGCATGCCTAGGCGCGTTGGAGAATGCGTAGCACATCAGGGTGCATCCACACATTATTAAAGGTCAAAGGGCTTTAAAGCAGTGCAATCATTTTGAAATTTTTATCATTTACTTATTATGCTTCATTAAGTACTTATACAAAATTTTATTAAAAGAAAACCATTTAAACTGGGTGTTCGGATTTATATGTCCCTTAGTATAATGCTACACGCAAGGTAGGTTCCTTAAGGTGGTACGTCTTGTTTTATAACATCATTATAACCCTAGCAATATCTATTTTGGACGTGTATGTAATAGTACAGCTTTCGACCATATTTTCGAAAATTTTCTTTGTCTTAGATTTTGCCAATCTCACTGCAATATTTGTTCAAACCGTACCACTGCTACATGACTGTATTTTTGTATTCAGGGTCAATTCTACAGGTCTCTACAGAAGAATTTTTTGGAAATCTTCTTTTAAGTTGGTCCATCTGTTTTTTGTATTGCACCTGACGAGAAAACATGTGATTATGGGCATCCTTTCAAAATCCAAAAGGACAATTCGATATTTTCAATAATAAACGAAAAAAACCTCGAAGTCTTTGAAAGCACGAAAGAAAAAACGGGAAAAGGACACTGAAATGTCCGTCGGGCACAGCTAATAGATATACTTCATTGGCTGCATATTACGTAGTAATTTTCTCATATAGCAACAAATATCCTGATTTTATACACATGCAGACCAATACACATAATCGTTCATGTGTGATTTTGCTACTCAACCAACTTTCTTCCTTTCATAGTTCTCAGAGATAAACACTACTTGGCTCTCTGCAACCAACAATGCATGCTTCAGCGTGCCTTGTCATTGAGTCATTCCTCTATGGATGGACGCTCACAACGAACCTAGTGAGAAAGCACCCTAGGTACTACCTAGTCTGCAACATGACATTTTATAGGGTTTTTTCATAATACCACTGCAGCACGGGTATTATGTATCTTGTAAAGAGACATTATGACGATTTTTCTTGACATCTTATTATTTTTTTTTGTGACTATGTATTTTACAAAATTTTAACTTAGCACTAGCTGATGGACACATGTGGTGAACTCATTACGTTGTACGTGTTGCCTAAACGTGATGATGCTTTAGTTATCAAGGTTTGGCTGTGATCTGATGTAAAATCTGCTTTAAGGATGGCATTACTGGAGGTCTAAGCTGTAAATTGTATACTATAGCTAGAAGGAAACTGCAATGCATAGGTGCATCGTGAGGATTTTTGTGCTAGTAATATCTGTTGATGATAATTCTATTGGATTCTTGTCTCACTCAACTACATATGCAAATTTGCTGAATCTCAAAAATGAGAGAGATAAGGAAATAAAATCCCTGGTTGGAGAAGGAACAGGTGAGAAAATAGTACAGACAGGAATATTTATGAAAGTGAAATGGTTATTACATTACTTTATATTTCCAGTCATTTGAATTTTATTGAAATTGTCAATAGAAAATACAAATCAGCGCATTGCGAAAATCTTTGATGTGTGATACGTCATTGCTGGTAGCGAAAAAAATGTTATACATATCTCGATGAAGGGGGCCATTATTGTCTTTTCACATCACATACCTCGGCGCTATGTGAAAGTACTCCGTCAATAATGACCCCACTTCCCGACCTAGGTATGTAGTGTACTATCACCTAATATGACAAAATCTGTAGCAGTTTCCTGCTATTCTTACGCGGATCTCGATGAATAAAAACTCAATCGGAAAAAGTATCTCTTGCATTTGTGTGTAGTGGAGCGGTATGGCACTGTTTGCAAATGTAAAGGGAATGATTCCGTCTGAATGGAACTGCAATTGCAACTGAGAACGATTTTAAACGAATTTTGCTTGCAAGAAGCTTGATAAAAAATATATTACCGCGTTGCTCGGAATTGAATGGCGATATTGAAATCAAGCAGAGCTTAAAAAGCAATTGCACGATCGCAAAGGTAGGAAAAAATCGAGGTAATTTATCTAATCCGAGTCATTCAGTGTACAACATGTAAAGAGATTGTATTTTTACTTTCCACGTTTAGTGGAGAGGAAGTATTGTAATCGCGGAATCTAAATTGAGATATTATGATTTTTAGATGCTATATGACGACCAAGTCTGTCTGTCCGTCGGTTTGTCTGGACCGCCTATAACTTAGAAGGGATAGCATTTCCAATTCTAGTTGAAAACTCAGAAAAGTATGGTTCAATACCAAAGTAGATTCATTTGTAAACGACTGGTCTTGTATTTAAAAAACGCAATATGAATATACTTCTGTGGGTGATTGCTGAGTGATAAATAGCTTAGGGTGGTTCTTCAGACTGCTATAGCAGTAGCGTAATGTAAACATAATCGGTCAAATACGATTTCTACATTCTTCTTCATGTGCCGTATCAGAATCATCCGACGTTTGCGATAACCATAGCGAACGCTTCACGGTCTTCTTCCATATGGAACAGTTGTCCTGCATTTCGGATACCAGTCCACTCACAAATGTTTTTCAACCAAAAAGCTTGCTTCCTTCCTAGATCCCTTCGACAGGCGCACATCCAGAGTGGAGGTCATGGGGGTCATGACCACCTCCAGGCGAATTTAGTTCGACTACTAATTTTTAAAGTTCCAAATCTCTTAGATAAATCTGT